ACCGGCCGAAGGTACGATTAAGCGCGAGACTTCCGGTTGGATTAAAACCAACTGTGAGGGCGGCCACGTTTTACGATCGATTCGGCCGATCTCTCCCGTCTCTCGATGTTTCGCGAATACGTCCGAACGCCGTGATCTTAAGGAACTTCCGAGCAGGAAGAAGAGGAGAGAAGCTCCCCTCGCGTGTTACGTAACTCCTCAATTCGTACGAGACCCGCATTCCGCGTCTTGGAGTCCAGGATGCGATCGGAAACGTGAAAGGAGGGGAGGGGGGGGGGGGGAAGGGCAGATGGTTGGCAAATTTTTTGGCAATGTCGGCAAATTTGTGCAATTTGCCGCAGCCGGCGAAAACACACCGGCTTCCATGAATCACGGCGGAAAAACGCGGAATCTTGGCGGGCGGATTGATTGTTCGCGCGGACTCGCAACATAATTCGCGTTGCGCAGTTCCGAGAGTGATGCACCTCGCCGCCTATCCCCCCGCGCGGTCTCTATTTCGGTTCGTTCTAAATAAAGCCGAAAGTGGGCCAATTTCCGCGCAACAAGCGAGACAACAGCGCGCACTTGCGCGACATTAACCATTATGTTCCAGATATTTTAAGAGGGGCTAAGGCTTTTTCTCATTTCCACGTTGCGCCACTTCGCGTAGTATTTTGTAACGCAGACCCGGCGTATCCAAATAAATTACGTAAACACATGTACAGTCAATAGCGGTGTTCACGTTGGATTGGTGGCTAAGGTTTGTCGCTTTTCGAAATTTTCATCTGCGGTAAGTTATTTTCACGACCTTCTCATGTCGAAAATCAAATAAAAGGACTTCGCCGAATGCTCGGAAGAGTACGAGGTTGATGTTACTTTGATCCCATTCGAAGAATTATTCATATGATTTGTTTCATAACAATGTGACCAACATGACTTTTAAGCTATTCAGTGTAAAAAGGTAAAAACAAAAATTACGTGTGTAATACTCAATTAGTATTATAATGCTTTTATATTAATAAGTCGGTCAATTACAATCGTTGTCGATTATTACTTGATATCTTCGAAATATACCAATGTTGCAGCACACTCTTCAGACAAAGATCGTCACATCGAACGAATTTGTCGAGACAGTTGTTTCATCGTGTATACTTTTTCCCATATAGCTTCGTCTTCGCTAATCCCCAGACACTTTCAATAGTATTTGCATCTGGTGACTGTTATGGCCAGTCTAATATTTCGATGTTATTTTCCTCTTTCCGCTGGCAGCGAAGACGACTCTGATGCTTTGAATCTCGTTGTCCTCTTAAAAATCCAGTCCTGACTTTTACTTCGAAACCACTCCTCAGCGGATGATACTAATGCTCTCTAATAAATTTTAACTAACTTCTTGGCATCCAAATTTTCTATAAATAAAAATGAAGTTCCAAATCCTTGGAAAAGTAGTTCGACTGAAAAGATTTCGTGCTCAGGGGGAAGATTCATCGGAAAACATAACAGAACAGTTAGAAACTCGTAGACGAATTCGAATTCGAACTCTCAAATGATAAAATAATACTTCTTTTTTTCTTTTAATTTGGCTTGTTCCTGACGCAGCAAGAATAGAAGGGATTTGTGGAAAATAACTAATGTAACCTGTTTATCCTCTTTCTTCGATGTTTTACGTGTCTTACGTGTCTTACGTAGTTTGGCAGATCATCAGCGGTGTTTGTTGTCTCATACCGCCTTATCTACCTGCTCACCAATATTTTTGGTCTTTTTATGTATTTTGCAGCCGCTTCCCGCGACATTTTCGGTTCTTTTAGATGCATGCAAAAAAACGGCTTCGAATCTTTTGGCGCATGCGATAGTCGGACAATGATCGGGACATGATTAGGACCTTCTGTATAATGCGTTGTAAAGGAAGAGCTCTCCTACCAGCCCGTTCAAAAGTTTTCGATCTTTAAACAAAAGTTTACCCGGTCACGCTCTTATTAGACAGACTGTACTTAGGTGTAATTTCACTTTATTTATAATTTATATTTCTTTAATAAATACGCGATACTTCTGCACCAGTCTAATATATCAAAAAGTGCAGATAAAATGTGGAATTCTTATATATCTTTAAGGTGTTTACCTCTATTGATTGTACAAAAGCTTAACAAGTCGAATAATGATCATGGTGGTCATCCGTGACACCCACTGTGATGCTATCGCGTTTTATTAAGTATAATTAATTGTATCTACAAAACAAAATGCACGGTCAATAACAAATGAATAAAGCGGGAAACAAATAGAAATATATGCATCTCGAATTACGTTTATTTAGCGTATTTTTAGTCATTCAATGATCAGTTGAACTCTTGTATACTCAGTAGTTATCAGAGTGGCGATCAACACGGTAATTGAAAATTTAATTACTAAAGTAACGGTAAGTAAATGTCAGTTGAAATTTGAATATCTCTTATCTCGTTTAATTGATTCACTCTGTACCGTACAGTCACTCTTTCAGATGGAATTAATCATACTTTACATTTAACTTAATGAGACACGTCAGTATTACAGTGCCGGCGACCATCGCGGCATTCAAAGTGTTAATTGGATTGTTTTGAGCCTCATGTTATCTCGTCACGGCCATCTTGATCAGTGACGTCCGAAACTAGAAAACACATACTCGGAATTCTTGCAAAATACGTTGAAATAAAGAATCATGTCCACAAGATGACACTTGCAGTTGATTGGACAAATTTGAAAAATATTTCGTAAACTTTCCCTTTGCTTCAGTGATGATAATAATCTTTATTAACGGGAAAACTTTTTAACACATATAATAAAGTAAATGTCACAGACGGACAGACAAGAATTCAAAAGAAAAGAAACGATCAATATGGAATGCATAGAAAAAAGGACAGCTTGTAAGTGGAATAAATAACAGAAATGAATAAATGATACGAATAAACAGTAATTATTATGATCACTAAATAACCATAAAATTAACGTACTAAAGTCACATAATTAAAGATCAGGTTACGTGTTAATTTTACGGTTACTTATTCATTGTTGGAACAAAATAAAAATTGTATTTTGTAAATTTATTCCGTAAACTTGAATCGGCTGCGAGCTTTATGGACACATCATTTTATCTCAACGAACTCCGAACAAGAATTTTGAGCGTGTATTTTCTCGCTTCTGACGTCATCGATTAAGACGATCGCGACTGAGAATCGGGAGCCTTAACGACTTATAATTACGTATCGAAAATACACACGCGCCGATCGGGCGATTCGCTCTGCATAATTATGTCGCGCGTTACGGATCGCTGTATGACGCAGAGGAAAAGTCGCGCGTTCTCTTGCGCGAATAATCATTCGAGACTTAGAGAATACCGTTTCGCTGGAAGCCAAATCGCCGGCGGTGCCGCTCGATCCGTAACGTCCACCTTGGCGACGACAACGTTTACATTTGGGTCAGCGAGATTTCAGGTTTTCTCAATGTAAAAGCAACGCCGTCGATGTAATAAAACGTCTGGCGCGATGATGTAGGATACGTGCGCGAGAGATACGGCCTTACGGCGTCATGGCGATACCTTAAATGGCCGGGACGCTTCTCTCTCTCTCTCTCCGTCTCTCTCTCTCTCTCTCTCTCTCTCCGTCTCTCTCTCTTTCTTGCGCCTCGACATCCCGGGAAAAAAATTTGCCGCGTACATCGCGCGCGCACGCGTCACTGAGTTATGCGCATGATCGATTTTACGCGATATCTCGATCTTCAATTATCCTAGTAGAAATTGTATCTCGCGGATGTCTAGCTGCGAGGTATTAAATTTATGTCTAATGTCGTTATATATAAATAAGCAAAAAATGTTAAATCAATCTTTTGAAACATTGATTTTACGTAGATTTTATAAACATTTTGGCATAACATTTTGTAAATGTTTTTGGAACTGTTACTTGATAATATTATATTCTTAAATATTAAAATTATAGTGTAGAAATATTATTTTTAATGTTTGGGTTAAATATTAAAATTTGCCGCGTACATCGCGTACATGGCGTATACGAACTGAGTACAATACAAATGTCGAGCAGATATTCATGTGCTTTTTAAATTTCTCGGAGTCAAATCTCACTCGAAAAGTAGGGTAGCTACCAAGTCACTCGAATTCGCGTAATTCCACTTATTCAGAATAAATTCTCCTCTCTGAATTGTCGAGTAAATATTTTCAATTGAAGAGCGAATCCGAGGTATTCCGCCGTCACAGGAATATATTCATTCCAATCGATTGAAATGTTCGCACATGGAGTCGAAATCCACTCTAAGTCTGAGTAAAACACTTATCTTGCGATTTCGAGCAGTATTTTCATTATTATTTTACATGAAAAATATTGCTAATTTCCGCTTGTTTTCAATCAGATTTCATTTTAAGAAATTTATGGAACAAGACGTTGGCTTTGCATAAATTTTTGTAGAGATCTGATATTAATATTGGCTTAGCGTAAATTTAAATAAAAATAAAAAAATAAAAAATCTATACACACGGCCAATGTGAACTACAGTTTTCGTGCCGTGTGAAACCGATAAATGTAAAAATACCGTCTGTTTTTTTTATAATATTACTGTTATATTTAAAATATTTTACTATCATGCCGTTATTTTTTGTATTGTTCACAGAGAGGTCGAGCAAATTTCACGGGCATCGGCGGGACTACGAATCGCCAATGCCAGTTTCCGGCTGGCGCTCCAAGTAGATACGTACCGTCGATGGTAAGGCAGAAGTCCACGGATAAACTTATCTACCGCACGCTGCTTGACGATTACCTACTTGGACGGATTTCCTTCGTTAACACCGAACGATAATTTTGTTCTTAGTAGATATTATCTACTACTGTTTCGTACGCACGTGTAGCGCGGGTATTTATTCTTAAAATAAATATCTAATTCACATCCTCGAGCAACTGATTTATTAATACTTCATATGTTCCGTAATAATGTTCTAATAATTCTAAAAACTTTTAACAGTAAAAATCTACGAGATGAAAAGGTGCGTTGTACTGAAATTTAACAATATTTTCATACCTTGAAAAATAATGAGGTGAAGAAACTCCGAGTTGTATGGAGGTGAAGAAACTCCGAGTTGTATGGATACATAAATTTTATTGCAAGAACTGCAATCGGGTCGATTTGAATATAAAAATCAAACCAAACCAATAATTCGACGTAGGAATTTGTACTACAAAATTTAAGCAACGGTAAAAGTGTTGAATTAGCTTTATTTCCGTCAGTTTTATGATCGTCTGATTGAACTAAATTTTGAATTTGTTTCATATAAATAAGAAATTTAAAAAATACTCAAATTCTGTTAAACAAATTAAGGTAGCATGCTCGTTATACACAAAACCGTTATACACAACACCTGAAATTGAATTCGTTTTATTCGATTTAAGTTATCTCAACTGATGATTTTTCGTCCAGTACCAAAATGCTAATTTAAAATCGTCTGTTCATCTTTACATAAATTTGTATCAATACTTTTTTGCATTAAACATTTCTTATAATACTCTTAATGATTGGATTTGCATTTTACATTTTTTTAACTTCTTCAGGGATGAATTTATTAAAATCAGAAGAAAATGAATTTGAAAGTGACACATATATGACATCTGTTAATCATGTGACAAGATTTCTCTCCTGTGGAATTTTTGGATAAATGTTTATTCACGATAATGTTCGTTATATTTTGCCGATGCTGTTCGAGTTGAAAAAGAAAAATTGAACATATCTCAACACTTACAGAGGACAGTTACTTAATGCGTGCCTGTCACTTAAATTACATCTCATCATTTTTTCTCTTTATTGTAGAATATTATGAAATAAAGGCCGATTTAACGGTAAACATATAACGCAAATGGACAATGAAAACCATAACTAAAACTTTAACGAATTGCATTATGTGTTTTCTGTGCTGCGATATAAAATTGAAAATATATCTCAAGTAATACTTTTGGCAATTCTCTCCTACGTGTAAACGTATCCCCGAAGAGATCAACAGTATTTGGACTTGTTCTTCTCGATTTCATACGAACCCTCGATTTTCGAAGTATCTAATCTCCTGAACTTTCAATCACTCAGGGCGAATTGCAAAGCGGCAATTCGGGAGGTTCCATCAGCCCCATTCACGCGCCACTTTTCCTCTTTAGAAACTCTTCCCACGATAATAAGATTCCATGCGTATGCATAATCCGTCGCTGATAAAATTCCCCCGTCAATTAATCAAAGTACCACACGCTCCCGGCGCGAATTCGCAATTCGCACGGATAACGAGTCACGAGATCGCCGAGTCACGTGGCGAACATTACCTGTCAACAACCGTACTGTTCGACGCACAATGGAAAATAGGTCGGCGTACTCACCTCGTCGCACGCGGCGCATCTCGGCTTTAGCTGTTCCGCGTAATGCCTCTCGCAGAATAACGTGTCGTCGTGCACGCAATAAGCGAGATCGACCAGAAGCTCTTTGCAATCCGCGCATCTGAAGCACGCCGGGTGATAGAATAGGCCTAGTTTACTGGCTGACACCGCGAGGCTGCCGTACTTCAGCGACTTTTGGCACACGCCGCACTCCTGGAGAACAAAAGCCGTTAGAAACTTCAATGTACGCCCCGACGGACTCATTTGCATCTGTAACCGCTCGTGACTCCGATCTCTCGGCTCGGATTAGTCTACAATCTACAATAGGCACAGTGAGCTTTTTTTCCAAATAATAAAATGTAATGTAACTGCTGACAAAGAGCGTTTCCCGCTGTCAAAAGTCGTAATAACGCTTAAATCTCAGGAATTGTGACGTCTGTACTGTTAACCATGTGTCGCCAAAATTGGAGGTACACGTTGAAATAAAAACCCTACGTAATTACGAGTGACATTTCGAAGTATCTACCTAGAATTTAGAAGTACCACGCAGGTACCTCCGTCGCGTACTGGCTATGGTACGGAACGGTAAGGTTATTTAAAAAAACATGACTATAAAAATCTATTTTTTATAAATTAATTTGTAATTTTGTTCTGAATTTTAATGAATGAATCTTATTTTTATTTCTTTCCCCAGATGAAATAAAAGATTTTATTAAGATTAAATCTATAAAATAGTCAACAAATAATTGATAACATTACATTGACGTTTATAAAAGTGGAATATCTGAATTTAAAATATAAAATACTTTTATCAAAATTATAACAATCTTGTTCTTATTAAAATTCTCATTAAACGTTATAATCTTCTCATTAAAATTACAACTATTTATATAACATTTATATTATTTATATTTACGTTATAACTTATTCAAATCTTATGATCTTCTTATTAAAATTATAACTATCTTATTTTACATAATTTTATACATTTTTAAAGTAGAATTTTAAAATCTCAAAATAAAATACCGGAATGTATGCATAAAGTTTAAAAATAAGACTTTTCAAAATGACTTTTTTTCGATCGCGCGTCGAAACCTATGCGTTAAAGTTCGTCGATATTTCCCGCCGACGGATTTCTCCCGATTTACCTCCAACCCTCCCCTCGTATATTCACCCACGAAAACGATTATATTCATGAAATTTAAACACTCACGGCACTTTTCTCGACGACCTCCTGTACACTCCCGATATCTAGGGCGATCTCATTCCTGGCGGCCATGAAGTCATCAGCGCTGCCGGCATGTTTGGGATCCAAGTGGCGACAATAGGCTCTCGCCAAGTCCTGCTTAGGCAGCTGGATTGCCAACTGACGATCCCTGTGACGTTCGCCGGGCGCGCCGAGTCTCGGCACGGCGATCTCCGGCAACATCGAGAAGTACTCTTCCACCTGTGTAACGAAGAGCAACGAATTAATCCCACGTCCTCGTATTCCACGGCCACGGCAGAACACAAATATTTTGATTCGCGAGGGCCACTCGAGGTTCCTGTCGGGAGAATAGCATATAGTGCACACTCGATACACACACATACACATACACACACACCGCCGTCGTCGACATCGGAAACATCGTAAACCGCGGCGCTGGTCAGTCGCGAGTGGCCTCGTAAAAAAGAGAGAAAAGAAATGAAAGATGCGAAGAGCGTTCGCAATAAAGCATCCGGCGGCGATAAAGAGCGGTTTCGCGCCGGAGGTTTCCAAAATTTCAGATTCTGACTCTAATGTAATGAAAAAAAGGAATTAAACATATTTCTGAAATTATGCGTAACTTGAACATCTATATTGCATTTTGAGATAATATAAGCGTGTTCATGTCGTACTTGTATAAAAACCGGAATTTGAATGTATCATACGTTTTTGATGCATATTTCATGTATGCTTTCTTGTTGAATATTGTAATTTATGCGCACATAAACAAAAGCACAGTCTATTTCTTTCAACTGGAACGCATCTGGTTGTTATCAAATTTTTTTCCCGTGTAGCTTCTGTCATTCTGTCAACTAATTGCCGGATGGGTCTCTGGTTCATCGCCATTGTATATACACGAGACTTCAAACAAGAAGTCCAAAGCGAGGCGGGCTCGTTATCATCCAGAAACGAATTTGCGTTACGAATTCGCGACAAAAATGGAATTTCTCATATCTCGATGACCAAATTGATCTACAGTGTATTCCGAACATTTCGCTCGGAATCACCTGTAAAGCACAATCTAAATTGGTCGGGTTTCCTCGCGGAACAATCTGCACACATAAGATCCATTTCACCTATCGAAAATAAGTCAAAAAGATGTTTACTTCCGGGCACATACATCTGGTTTATTCCCAAATCTATTTGCGGGGATATTGAATATTGAGAAAAATAGCAAACCCCCCCCCCCCCCCCNNCACTGTGCGCCGGTGCGATGGACTTTTCGGAAAATATCGAAGGCTGGCGACGTGCCAAGATCTCCGATCGGCCGTCGAACACCGCGGCGTCTATTTCGCTACGCGCCTTTTCTCCACCCACGGCCACGACCGTTATTATCCTATTCGCCTCGCGATATAAACCGCAAACGGCCGTTTAGAGGCGCAATGTCGTCGCACACCCGTTGCACTTTGCGCACGAACGGCGACGAACGGCGTAAACTCTTTACGACGCTCGAGGATCTGAGCGCGATGGAGCTGCGATTTCACGTGATTATGACAAATTGAAAGACGGTGAGCGACGTTTGTTTCGTTGTGCGCGGTTTGGAAACTCGTCGGATCGAATTCGTCAGGTCGCGTCGTAAATCATTTTCGATCGTCGGAGACGACGGGTGTTTATTTTTATTGGATCGGCGGAAAGTGCCGATGTACGCGCTGCTTATCAGTCGGAAATGCGAATTATTATTATTAACGAAGATTGGACAGAATGTTTTTTATGATGAATATATCAATGGAATAATGACGACTCCACATGAGATATAGTAAACAAAAAATGTGCATTAAAGCTTGTTCGTTTAAGACGCCTCGTTTTTGAAAAATTGATTTTACAAATTGATTAATTATCGATGCTCTCTCTCTCTCTCTCTCCCTCCCTCTCTCTCTCTCTCTCTCTCTCTCTCTCTCTCCCATTTCCCCTTCCTTCTCTCTTTTCCGCTTTCTTCAAGCTTCCACGACTTTTGTGACACATCGTTAAGATGATATCTCTTGAGAGATATAAAGAAAGGTGAAAAAGCTAAAAGACATACCCTATGCGACTGAAGACCAGGTGGCACCCAAGCGAGGCCTCTTTCTCTAGGATCCACGCCGATGGGTCCGCTCGATTCGTCGCCTTTGAGGCCCAATCGGGACCTGACCGACACCCACTCTTCGTGGCAGACATCGTGGGCCTCTCGCGGACACTTGCAGCTGGTGCAATTTTTCCTAGAACAGAAATCGAAGCTTGGTCAGCGCAAAACGCGCAACGGGGATTGCCCGACTGCTCGAGTCGAAATTTCGATAACGATGTGAAACCTTTAATTCAACAACGTAGAAGCTAAGATAGCAAAATACGTTCAATTTTAATTCCAATAATACAATTTATCCCTACTTTTTGATCTTGATATCTTAAATTTCCGTTTCCGCTGTTTCACCGTCAAAATAGATTGTTCAAGGCAGCAGTGACATTAAATCTGTAGAATTTAAAAGTGAAGAGAGAAGTTGATAAGTGTCGATATCGTCAAAGTGGATTTTTATCAGCGTACAGGTCACCCAAGTGGACACAAACTATCGTTGAGAGCGCTAAGGTAACATCAAAATATCGACTCGGGTACACATCGATGCGATTAAACAATTTAAAGGGGACCGTTGGAATCTGCCGGTTCAATTAGGGTCCCAACTCGATTGGGTTCCCTTCGTCTTGGCGAAGGAGTCTTGGCCGACCAATATTTGCCACGCGTTGTTCATTAACGCGCGGACACGGCGCGACGCGACGAAGCGTCTAATAAACTTTTATTACCTTTACACGCGTCGCGCGCGCGCACGCGCATGCGCGTCGATAATCGCCTAATTAGGCCGAGCGCCAATGATTTTTTTGTTTTCACTTTGCACGGTGGACTTTCCCCTCGAGCCCGTAACGGCGCTCCTATGTACGATGTAATTGACGTCGGCTGTAAACGTCGGCTCGCTGCTGCTGCGCCGCAACAGTTATCGCCATTTACTAATTAACGTTTCGGTTTACCGTCGCCGGCTAAGCTAAGAGGAACTACAATCACGAGTACAACGTAGAAGGGTGTTTTAAGGTGAGGATGCGGAACGATGGAAAAACGAAGAGAGAGGAAGATGGTGGATTGAGTACACTGAAAGGAGATTTCGTTTCCGTATTGTTATTGGATTATTGCAAAGGTTTTTGCGGAATCTCTCCAAAGACGACAGCAAAAGAGCGATCGATTTTCACGCTGAATAATAAAGTTGTCGGGAAAAGTATCTTGTGTATAGCGTGTTGAAAAATAGAGTTCAGAATTTATAAGATATTTAGTACTCATTAAGTTGAAAAAGGCAGGTCTGAATCGATTTTAACGAGTCTTATGTATTGCAGAGAAGCTACCAATAAAATACGTGTTTTTTTTTTTTCTTTAAGTTTTCTCACACATTTACGAATCCAAAAATGATTTTTTGAAATTAATTACCGTAGGTTTGATTACGAGCGAATATCTGTGAAATTATCTTGTATGAAATTTTTTATGGTATTTATGTACTTGATAATTTTTAATTAATATACATTTAAATTTCCCTTAAATTTCACATTTTTTCAATCCTCATTTTTCATTACTTTTGTGAATTTTAAATATTTGGTAAGAGTGAAAGGTAAATGGAATTTTATGCCAAATGTATGTTCAACTATAACGTATAATAAAATTATTCTCTGAAATCATATTTTTGGAATACAAGTTGTAAACATCGTTTTGTCAGTAGTTGCTGACGCATTACGCCCGCTCGCTTGTACAGCGCGACATGTACAGAGTGGTCTTTATAATTCACATTCCAAATAACTAATGCGGCCTTGAAAAATAATTTCATCACTCAAAAATAAAAAAATTCAACAACAAATTTCTTAAGCTTCTGTTCTAACCAAATTTTTTCAATTATTATAAATAGTTATAACAGAAGTTAACAAAAGATGGGATACATTTTCTTAATATAAATGCATACTTATATATATAAACGCTTTTGCTTAAAATATTCTCTCAAATATCTCACGAATTCAAAGATATTCGCTCATTATCGAACAAATACAATTAGGTTCCGAGAGTTGTTCTCAACTTTCGAGCGAGAAAACGTTCGCAAAAAGAAAAATAGCTACCCTACGATATATTCAGAATTGGTTGGAAATCGGTAAAAAACAGATCTTTCGCAAAGAGTCCCAACGTTTTTAACACTTCACAATAACGGAATATCATGTTATTCATACGTAATTATAGAACAAGATGGAATAGATACGCATTATTATGCGAGCGAAATTATGCGTTAATATTCGATATTTCGATTCTCTGTCGAAAATCCCGATGAACTTTCGACACGATGAGACGAGACGGAAGACGTAAGGGAGACACACAGTGCGCGGGACACGTTTGATGTTCGCGTTGCGAGTATTCACGTTTACGCCTCTTTCGCGTCTTCGCTGATGAATCGCGCGCGGATCGATGCGCGCGCGGCTCGAAGGACGAGCGATTAGAACGAGGCGACGCATTCGCGGCGAAGGATGACGCGTGGGCGCGACAGGAAAGCTTCGCTCGCGAAGTTCCTCGAATCGATAGGCCGCCGAGTCGCTCTGCCTTGGTATCGAGCGGCGATCGTGTAATCAAGGGGGATGCATTTGCGTCGGACATTTATCGTCGCTCTACCGCGCCCTTCCGGATGTCGGAAGGCTTCAAGGCCGTCGAGAAGTTCGCTGCTAATGCGAGGAGGATCACTTTTCTCTTCCTCTATGTCTCTATATTCAGAAAAAGAATTAGCCGTCGGAGGCTAAAATACGACTATAACAGCCATGAGTCTCCAGTTAGGGACAGTTAATGTTCCATACAGCATAAATCCCTCCAAGGGACCTCCTAAAAATGTCCAGAGGATGTCTTACGTTCTGAGGACGTTATCAGGATAAAGGATGTTTCGGATAAAATGTACTGTATGGGGTCGTTGCTACTATGATGTAATAAGACAAGGTGTATCATTATATAAGCATAATGGTGGCGGAATAGCGGAAGAAGCGATAAAATTGTTGTCCCCAAAATTAATGCGGAATTCAAATATGGTATCGATGAAGATAATTGACAGAAATACGAACGAAAAATGAAAACTCGCAGAAACAATGCGAAAGTTCACCAAAGTGTCACTATCGTCAAAATAGGTGTGTCGTCGAAATTCATTAGTCTATATGTCATCTGAGTACACCGACGGAAAATTATAGTTAGCTTCGGCACCGAACAATTAACCTTTAACCGCAAAAGTAATCAACAGATTAACATTTTCTAATGAGTGTTACTATAATGTCAATGATAATAACTTTATACGTATGCTGCTACTGCTATAAAATATGCTTGGCGCCGAAAGCAAGTGACAATTTTCTATCAGTGTAGGCGCAAGCCAACTTTAAAAGCGTCCAAGTAGCATCAAAATTTCAACTCGGCTACACTCGTGCTTCCCCCCGCCATTTCCTCTCCTTTCTTTCCCTCTTTCTCTTTCCTTCGTCTCTTTTTCTCTCCCTCGGAAAGCGTCCCCAGTGACGCATTATCCGGCAGTTTCCGTAATGCCAGCCTGATAATGTCAGCCGCGCAATTATTCAGTTAGTCGGCGAAGCCTGACTCGCTTTCTCTTCCTAGGAGTCGCGTGCTATAAAAAAAAAGTCCTTGCAGAGATCCCGGAAGGGCTTCGTCCGGTCCGATTTTTCCTCGTTGGGGTCGGACCGACCGAATCTCGCGCATTTTACCGTTTGGCCTCGCTCATCACGGGCTGGGTTCTCGTGCGCGAGAATAGTCGCGAATTACATCGATAGCCTCGTTGATTCGACGAGGGTGTAATGTTGCACACGTAACGCGGAGATCGTAATTCACGCGGGCATGCGCGTTTATCGACGCCGGTGCGATCGGACGTACAAGCGTCGTAGAGATCTTCTTTATTTTTGACTCGCGACACCAGTTAAGGTTCTTCTTACACATGCTCGTCTTGTGTTCCTACCACGCAAGTTTGTACTCGGATGATAATTACACAGGGTGTCTCGGAACCGGTGTATGATACTTTAATGGCGTATTCTGGAGTTTATACGAATTGAAAATATAATAATGCCGAGGAAGCTCGTTATTTACATTACAATTGGTTGTTATTTTTAATATTGTACGTATCTTTCCAATGAGGCTTCTCGAACTAGAAGTCCACCCGGAAATAGCTGAGAAGTGAAATTTTGTTACTCGCTCAGCTTCCCGAAGATTAATTCGCAAAAGGGCCGTCTTTCTCGTTTATTTGCAACTCAAAAGGTGTCTTAACTTTTCGTATTACAGGATTTCGAACTTTTCCTCATTGTAGTGTACCGCGTTAAATCGAACCGACGTGTTCACACAGCGCGAGCGGCAATTATACGAATAAAATTAATTACTACTTGAGATAGAAAAGAAGAAGAGAGAAAATATCACCTGTCTTTCTTTACGACAGTTCCGCTGCGTCTTACGTAAGATCTAACGATTAGAAGCGGCGAAGAAGCGACGGGGAAGGGCGCGTATCCGATAAAATCTGGTTCGCCGGCAGACGCGGTATAAGCGCGAAAAATCAACTTCGTTAACCCACAAACGTAAGCGCGATGGTAAATCATCCGTGCTGGTTTGGCTTGGCGCTGCTTTCTCGCTGTTTTCCGTCGTAAAGCCGCCAACCGGGAGGCCATTAGAAAGGCTCCGCCTAATTGATACTAACGACGGTTAATTGCGTTCGCACTGCGTGCTCCGACTGGCCACCGACTCTTCAGCGGTCTCTCAAAACTGCGACCGTCGGCTCGGACGATGTGAAAACGATCGTAAAAAGTTTTCGTCAACAAAACCCGAGAGGCTTCGCCCGAAGCCTCGGGTAGGTCGCAGTGAGTTGTGGGAGAACGTTGTTTGTCTGAAACTCGCGAGCGCACGAGAAATTCGTTTAAACTCGTTCGAAAGAAAATACGTGGCGAAGGCCGCAGCAGCCGCCAGCCGGTAACCGGTTTGGTATTTATTAATTTATTTAACAAATAATAAGCAGAGAAGAATAAAAATGGCGGTATAAATAAATCATTTACCTTGAATGCAACGGAATTTCGGAAAGGAAGAAACGATAATTTGGTCTCCATGTCTATTCGAATTAATATAAAGAAGAAAGAAACGAGGGAAATAAGAAAAAAATGAAAAATGAAAGGGCTTCCTATTATAATATTCTGATATTATTTTCAAAATAATAACAGTAGTAGTAATTAAAATAATAACAATAGTACGAAAATCTAGATTTGTTCCTGGCCGGAGCGATATATTTAGCAACGTTAATTTTCCTTACGACAGTAAAAGGGAGAGTAAAAGTAACTATTCTTCACTGGTAATAAGCTAAACCAAATACCGCTTCGTTTCTTTTCGAATTAGGTTTCTTTAATTTCATATTTCTTCAAAAGCAATCTTGATAAGTGCGTTACACTGCCGGACAATTTTATCTTCCAGCTAAGATTTCAAATTTCGTGTCTTCAACATTCAACGACGAATATTAGCCCTTCGTTCTTATTCGTTCTTACTGGTTGTCCAAAAAACAGTTAATAAACATTCTAGTTGCCTAACGAATGGGCGACCGGACGAATAGCGATCTCTTCGATCACGATATTCTCGCCTGCATAGAATATTCTAGCGCGCAAGCCTTATTTAAAGTGATATATGAGAAGGTACAGATATCTTTTATTGCCACCATCATCTATGACTGCATTGTGAAACAATGCGTGAACTTCAAATACCGATTAATGCATGAATTTCTTTAATTAATAACTAATAGCAAATAATAATAATAATTCATTAATATTTCTTTATTAATAATCCGTGAAAAAACTAATAAATTAAAGTTTTACTTTATTAATTAATGATAAAATTATAATTAGTACAATTTCATGAATTAATATAATAATTAATCAAAAATTCGAATGTTATTCGCAAAATCGTCAAGAAACTTTTTCTTACAGACTGGCTTAATCCACAAATATATAACAGGCGTTGTACCTACGACAGGTTCGAGGTTCGAGGTTCAACGTACCGATGTCTGTCGTTAGGTAGCCATCAGCTGCCATACACTTATAAATCGGTCCTGAGCAAAAAAATCCTCCACCATTTTGCCAAATGATACGATAAATTATTGAATCATTAACTAAAGAGATTCACGTGTCAGCCAGCATTTGAAGTTCGCGCGCCGCATTTCGCAGTGCATCGTGAGATAACGATGGGAACAAAAGAAGTCTGTATCTTACACACTACTTCAGCCTATTCCGCAGATTAGCGCGTTGCCGTGCGTCATCGCGCGTAATTACCTAACTATCAGCTCGAACAGCTCGAACTGGTCGAACACCTTGCAGTAGAGATGCAGCACTCGGACGCAGGCCCACTTCATGCCGGGCCAAGGTGCCAAGCTGAGGTCCAAGCCGTCTTCGAGAGGACACTTGCCGATCGCCATGCTGCGCCGCAACTCCGCCCCAGTGATGGTCGGGAAACGGTTTCTGCGGTCCAGCATCGGGTTCCGCTTGCGAGCGCCCGCGATCGTCACCGTCGTCGCCGTCATCGCACCGCAGCTCGGTATCATTCCGCGTTTGATCTCAGCGCCGGACAACGTGGGGTAACGATCACGGCGGTCCAGCGACGAGGTTTTCCGATAGAACTCCTTCTCCGATACGGAGGGGCACCTGATGCGGGGCTCGTGCAGCGGCGGGCTCATCGGCCGCTTCTTCGGTTCGGGTATGCGCACGCGGACGCCCTGCGGCTCGGCGCCCGGCGTCGCTACGCACGACACCCGCACCTCCATCTTCGGGACCTCCTGATTAGGCCCCTTCGGGCTCATCCTCGGGCCGGAGAGCCCCGACGACGACAGCAAGCTCGGCGTCGTGTGACGCCTACGCAATCGCTCGTTCAGGATGAACTGCTACTCGGCATCGCGCTTCTTCCAGTCGTTGCTGTCGCGGCCTATCGTTTTTCTTCTTACCTCCGTTCTCCTTCTCTTCCTATTTCTTTCTTTTTTCTTGTTCTTCCTCTTATTTTTCTCCTATTTCTTCTCTTTTCCCTCCCTTTTCTCTCTTCCTCCTCCCCTTTTCTTCTCCTCCTTTTCTTCTTCTTTTCGCTTCTCTTTCTTTCTTTCTTTCTTCTTCCCCTTTTTCTTTTCTTACGTTCTTCTTCTTCTTCTTCTTCTCTTTTTCCCTTCCTTTTCTTTCTTTTATTCTTCTTCTCGTTTTTCTTTTATCGCGTTTCTTCCTTTTTTTCTTCTTTGTTTTCTTCGGAACTAGCTTCCTTCCGTTAATTCGTTAAAAGGTTTATACTGTTTTCGTTGTAATAATAACAACGAATTTTGTTTTCGATAGCGAAAGAAGTCGCGCGCACTTGATCCGTCATTTAAGTCCCGAGGTTAACTTGCGGTTAATGTCACACGTGTCACAGCCAGGAGTTGGAGTCATTTCCGCAACGGACGATTATCAGGAGTGTCAGGATAACAGCACATTTGATAAGAACGAGTCAACAGCTGGAGAATAGAATATTTGATAATCTTAAACTTGACAACGTACTTTGCAAGCATTAACTCGTATTATTTTATATGGTCATTTCTCTTTTACATTATGTCATAATTGTTTTCTTGTTTTACATTTGCATTACATCCAAATAGGAAATTGTTTGTTTGTCGCAAGAATCATGCAAAAGATTGATCATTTCTCTATTAATTTTGACTGGCAGAAAATTACTGATTTGGATATTAATAAGAAAAACGAAATATCTTGTTAGATGATCTGAGGAAATTGTTAATTTTATTCATAAAAATTATTAACCTCTTCAGGGATGAGTTTATTTAAGTTGGAAGAAAACGATTTAACTTTAAAGTGGCGTATCTCATGTGAAGCAAGTTTCAAGTAACGACTATTGACACGGGGCTAAGAAGCATAGAAGCCAATGAGCGCCACGCGGGATGACAGCTGCCAATAATTATTTCGCCTTTCAGTCCTTAAACTTCAATTCTTAATTTCTCAAATCCACATATACATTCCGTGTGAAGAATTCCACTGTGAGAACACGCCTCAGCACACGTAAATATGGCCTGGAGCTTAATTCTTGAAAACGATTCTTTAAAGTTGATTGTATTTCCCTTGCAGTGCATCGATTAACCGATTCTAACGAAAGGAATAATCGGTTTTTATCAAATCGATTTTTATTAACGGAATCCTGAACGACGCGAGCGCATTCCCCATCCGCCGAGAGCGTCTCGCGCACGCGCGCGCGCGCGCAGATAATATCTGGTTTATCTCAGCGCGCTAAATGAGACGCGCGCGGCGGCAACATCGTTAACGCGAATCGCGCCGGCGTACGTACGCACATCGGCCGGCCACGTTGGTTTATAATTTAGGCAAATCGATATTCGCCGTTTATTTTACGATCGTGCGCGAGTGTGTGCCGGCTGTCTTCGCGGAAATAATTGCAGCGTGAGCACGCGCGCCGCGATGCACGACGACGAGCGACGATGAGCGGGACGGCCGCACGCGTACATATCGGCGAATTTATTTTCATTGCATCAAATCGCCGCGATTTCTTAGTCGTCCGGTTATTTATAGTGAGGGAGGATCGTCGGCCGCCTCGTTCTTCTTCCGTAACGCACAGGCGAAAAAGGACGCGGGGGCGCCGCCGACTTCAAAGACGAAAGCCGTCAGTCACGAGGCTAACCGACGGGCAAGTTAATAACTGCCCGTTTATTTGACATTTCGAGGGTGGCTTCGTTTGATCGATCTCATCCTTTCGTTCTCTCTCTTTTTCTGTATTGCGGAAACGCGTGCTTTTGGCTCGGCGGCCGCGTGAATTACACGCCGGAACCATCGCGGCGTGAATGATTCGTCAGTAAAAAATCCTGAGCGTCTAATTTTGTTTCTTTATGGTGCGCAGTGCTTTCGGCCCCGGTATTTTTAAACAGTCGATTTTTCGACTCTTTGACTCTTCGAATCGGAATATCTTTAAATTTATTATCTTTTAATTGTTTTCAAGTTTACCGTTCTCCTTCTCTCGATTCGCCTCTAAGAACAATCTGTGAAACATACTTCGTTTCATTATATATGTTATCGTACAAGTTGGGTGTTAATCTCACTTATTCTTATTGTCATTTCTTTTTATTTATTCTTTGAACATATATTTATTCTTAAATCATTATCTGTGTAAGATATTAAGATAAAATTAACAAAAAGGTATATACCTGACAAAATATTTCGTATTTTATACATCGGAATATATCAAAATCAAATAGAAAATATTTGGCAAAGTATTCACTTTCCCTTGACTTTATCTTAATATTTTTATACACAGATTGCGGCGAGGAGAACATATTTATGTAAAGAAAATATATGATTCAGTTTAATGAAATTCTTTGATCCCATGTATTCGGGCAGTACTGGAAAGTTTAGGCGTCCGGATACCCAAATATAGAAATATCCGGGTTATATTGATAGCACTAATACACGTAACACATCGAGCACTGATGCCAGATTACTTCGAATGAATCTCGAGAACACGCGCCGTCAGTCTGTCGAGTGATCTCTCTCGATCGATAAGTGTAATTGATCCTGCCTTCCGCCGCGAATATAGAGGAACGTTTTCGTGATTATACGTCGGCTCCTTAGACTTATATTAACGCTAAAAATATCGAGCGGCCACATTTGTTATTTGTTTGTTTGTTATTTATTAATATCTTATACGAATAAAATTGATGCTTCGTATTGGCGTTGTGTATCAGCACCAATATAATTGGAATTCATATTCTTTTGTTTAATAGCGATATTAAAACAATTGAATCTGATATTGAGAATTAAGAAGATTTATTTCTATTAGACCGGTGTTGTTGACGCAACATTATTTTCCCGTTTAATTTTTTAAATGAAAATAGGATTCGGAAGTCTTCTGACTCCTTATTAATTATTTCTTTTATTTATATGAAACGATTAGTTTCTCAACATTTCGTTTTTATAAAAATCTATTTAAATACTGTCAAGTATCAAGCAATAAGGAATGACTAAATTTCTTCACAACAATACTGTTAAATCGGAAAAAATTTTCTATTGATAAAATTTTTTTTATCAATAAGAAATTCTTTTCTATTAATAAGAAATATGTGCGTTGACGATTTCGATTCTTCGTTTGTATTAGAGCAGAAGTATTAATTGATATAAATTGCTGAATATTTTCGAACAAAACGTTAAGATACTTATAACACGTTAAAATAGATAAATATTTTATCGTAATTTTTTTTATTTTATTAATTAGCCTTTCTCAGTTGTGATATATTTCTTTGTGTTTTAATGCTTTTATTTGGACACACACATGAAAATAAATAAAATCTTATGTGTATTACCATTCTACTTGAATGAGGAGCAACTTGCTACTTCGCTAATTGTCGATTGTTGATCATATATATTTTTACAATTGAAAATATCTTTCCTCATTATTAACATTTAATTTTTATTTTTCCTATCATTGAACAAATATACTGTGTCTCAAATCGTTCTCGGTTCCCGTGGTATGCATGTAAAAACGAATGAAACTGAGACGGTCTATTCTTCCTCGTGCGCTCATTAGCTTAGACAAAATAATTAATTCCTCACTAACTATTGTAAATTTTGCAAAATGATACACGATTTTTCTGCTCAGTTTCACCCGTTTTATCTGCACACTATGAAAACCGAGGTTTTGGACTGTATATTTCTTTATATTACAAAATTTTGGTGAGATATCAAGCGTGTCTGTTTCAAAAATAGTCGCTTGATCTTTTCGGCGAGTAAGAAATGTTAGTGCTACTATTGAGAGAATAATCTCAGAGTGCGGTACACTGTCGGACCGGCGAATTATCCTGATAAACGTGACAGTGAAGATAGCGCAACGAGATAGAACGTATTAGGCTCTTCGTATCGACGTCCGAATTCCGGTTCGTTCAATAAAGCAACAACGAATATTTGTCGACTCCAAGAATGGACATTTTTCCGAACGTCACAATACAAGCCTTTCGCAAAGGATTAAATTATTTGTGCAAATTTATTGCAAATTTATGAGAAGAAACACGTGCATAACCGCGTGTCCAAAATAGCGCAACGAAAGAGCATATTCCATTCTTCGTATAATGCAAAAAGTTCGAATAAAAGGAAGCAAGAGTTTCACGCAAATTTCGTTGCACTAACTGCATCTGAGTCGAGTGAAACTCGAGTCAGATCAACAAACTGATGTGGGAATTTGAACTAATACACAATTTAGTCGACAATAAAAGGTCAACGAAACTGAAATATACATGGAGAAAAATAATTCAGAGAGACAGCAAATTTAATGCAGTCTTGGCGAATAAATAAATATACAGGGTGTTTCTTAAATACCAAAAGTAACATTTAAGGGATTGATTTTTGAGATCATTTTATGAAGAAATGAACACATGAAATGTCCACAATAAATGAACTTTTCTTTGTAAAACGATTTTAAAAATCAATTCCTAAAATGTTAGATAGAACTTAAGGAACACTTTGTATATTTATTTATCTGCTATTGCAGCACAAAATTTGCTGTCCCTCTAAATTATTTTCCTTCGTGTACGTTTCAGTTTCGTTTACTTTCCGATATGTTTGTATGATATAAGTGTTCTTTCAGTTATCAAAAAGTTGATTTAATTGCATAATACAAAAAATATTACCTTCTGTGGAAAGTTGTGTAAATCAGACAATAAATATATGACGATAAATAAACGTGTTGGTTGAGCTTTATGATTGATTTGAATCTCTTTCGTATAAATCTCTTTGTTACAATTCGATATTAATAAATATTCTGTCGGAAACTGTATAATAAGAATAATTCTACTTTTAATAGAATATTAAGTAAATTAAATCAATTAAATGATAAATATGTTGTTAATAATGAGTTTCAGTTTTGCGGTCGCTTAACTGAGTTAAATCTTTAGCTTGGCATTTAGTTTAACATAAACGAGATATTTGCGAAACGTCAAAATTTCGCTGCGAGAATTCAGGTTAGTTAGCTATATGGAGCACTGAAATTAAGTCCGTTTCACTTGATTAGAGTTCCGACTGGTCTTTCTTTATGGTGCTCCTAATCCGAACTCTGGTTCGTCCAATAAAGCAATAAAGCAACAGTGAACGAGCCCGATAATGAGACTTCCTCGAACGTTACGTTACGAGCGTTTATTTTGCCCCGTGAAAGGTTAATCCTTCGAAACCTAATTTCTCAGAGCGCGTACGGCCCGTGTACCCTGGATTTCTAAGTAAAAAATAACACACTTTTAAATCTCTTTTTTACATATATTATTTCGTGAATCATTGGAGTTTAATGTCAAAGCGCAATCTTTACACAAGAATTAATGAAATTTCTGTGAATTATACATATTCCAAGGAACGACCGCGATATTGACGAGTGCTGTCGAACGTGCGTGCTTCGATCTAACGATTTGATCGCAGAGGTGCGATCTCTCCCCTCTTCCCCCCCCCCTCCTCTCACTCTCGCTTTCTCTCTTCCCTGATACTGATATTTCACGTGAGTCACGGGATTGGATTAATACGAATCGCTATTTTTGCCGTTGCGATTCCGCGGTGCGCTGGATACGTGCTGAATAAAACATGCCGGTGGACGGTACGGCCGCGTCGTCGGGAGTTGTGTAAAGAGAGGATTGACGTAAGTCAGAAGAGAAGGCGGCGACCGTGGCAACGACGAAGGGAGGGAGCGAGAGGACGCGGGCGGCGATGAAATTAATGGATTACCGTAATCGAGAGCAATGCCATTTCTCTCTCTCTCTCCCTCTGGCCCCTTCCTTCTCTCTCGAGCGACATCGCGCGCTTTTCTATCTCGGAAACGGCTCTACCTGGAAGGCGCGGCTATTTCGTCGTCAGGTGAATCATCGCGAGGGGGTAGAGAGAGGGAGAGAGGGTGGCCCGTTAGTCAGTCACAGATTTGGTCTGCCAAGAGCAAAATCTAAAACTAGGACCTCCTCCCCGCGCGAATCTTGACATACACTGTGCGAACAATAATCGTCATTATGCTTGTCCGCGAAGCGCTGCCGAAAACGCTGCCGACACGCGCGCGGTACGTCGCGGTGCGTACGCGGCGCGGAAACGACTCGTGCGACTTCCGTTCCTCGAAATTTACAGTCGTGAGAGGAGCGCGTTTAAGATCGCACGTTAATAAATTTCCATTAAATATTCGACTTCTCGGAGATTCGCGTTGCCAAAATGCTCCCACGAGAAGCTTCCTCTCTTTTTCTCTCTCTTTTTCTCTCTCTTTTTTTCTCTCTCTCTCTCTCTCTCTCTTTAAGCGAATAGAAAATGCGAAATTGAAATATTGAGACTCGTATCATCTATAATATCAATGCGTTTTTCATTATCACGATTAATAGCGATCGAAAGATTGATCGGAACACCTCGTGCTTCCGTTTGGATTCCACATCGCGGTTTGTAAAATCATCATCGACACACATTTTGCATTAACGAGTGCGCTCTTATCAGGTTTATCACTACCTCAGAATTTAAACTGATTCGAATGAACGAAAGACAATCGATGCGTCCCAGACTTCCTTCGCATCGAATTTTAACCGACGATCGGCTCGAGAAGGAAATAAATTACCGAGGAAATCCAAAAATGTGGGAAACGCGCGCCAGGTGTGACGCGTCGACCGCGTGTGACAGATGAGACGAGTTAGCGCGGGGTTAAACTGAGCAAATAGTGCGGACGAAAAGAAAAGACTCTCCCCTCCCCCCTCTATTCCGCGCGCGCGCGCGGTATTATGGATCCTCGTGGATCGCGAGCTGGTAGATCGCATAGTAAGTAAATCGCTCGGCCGTACCGATGACAGGTGTCACGCGGAAGAAGGAAGACGCCCGGAAGCTTTCGGCTTACCACAACATTCGAGCCGACGCGCCGACGAGCCGGTCGGGAATCGGAGAAGCCGCGGCGGCTAATAGCTATTAATTAGATAAATGCAGGCTATATTAAGCGACGGTAACAGCGCTCGTCGGAAATAGCCGCGATAACGCACGATACAACGAGCATGGCTCGTCTCGTCTCCCCTCCCTTCCTCTCGTCGCGTTGCGTCTCGTCTCGCGCCAAAATCCTTCTCGTGAAATCGAAAAATTATAACAGGTCTCGCGCTACACGCTGATCGGCTGTGTTTTTGTCCCCCCATCCCCTATCGCAGATCATAGATCGGTGCAAAAGTTTCGCTAAAGGAAATAAAAAAAAAGGAAGTTACCGAATTTAAAAGTAACAATTTTTACGTATAGAATGAGAATCAAAGCAGCGAAAACTCATACACGAGTTGAAATTTTAGTCTTATTCCAAGTCTAATTTAATTCTACATTAAACGTTCAAAGGTTTTCTATGGTAATCCTTTGGTGTTACGAGTGAGAAAGTTATTGCCGTTTTCTCCACTTGAAGACTTAATGTAGAACTAAAATTTATATTCTAGAAGACTAAGTTTCATTTGAGCATTAAAGAAGTATTTATTGCACGTCTTTGACGCTGCAAGTGGGAATTTATTTCTGTTCTCTCCGCTTGAAGAGTTAATGTACGCGTAAAAAAAATGTGCATTGACCAGAAAGGCAAGACTTTTTTCCGCAAATAGAATTAAAAATTTCGATTTGGTTACTGTCTGACCGACCGCGTCTTTTTTTCTGTGGTTGTGCTAAATTACGGTGTAAAAGATACGTTGCAATTATCAAATAAAATTAAAGAAAGAGGTTTCAAGTTTCTTTATCAAGTTTTTTTAGTTTGTATAATAAAAAAAAAAGAATCAGTATATCGAGATATAATACAAAAAAACTCTCGTCTTGTCGCATTTTTTCACTTCACGTATTAAGTCGGTACAAAAGATCGTAACATCTGTTAAATAAAATTATTCGGATTTAAAATATTTTCAATTCGAGGTATTGATAATAAACAATTAATAATTGTCATAAGTAAAATAAACGGTGTTTAAACATTACGTTGGAGTAAAATATGTCGCATTTTTCCAGGAATATTAAATGCACAATTACTCAACGTCGAAGTTTACTCACACCATTACTCAATGTCGAACTGTTGTAAATAAAATAAACAACGTGAACTCGACATCTTTACAGATATCTAGCAGACCTTCCTGCTTTCTCTTTTTAATACCTGATCGTTAACTTGTCACAAGTTAAAATTTACTAGAAGAACGACCAATTTCCTATACTAACCTAATATTAAGTACTGCAAACAGAAGTAATTACTTCTGCAATTGCGCAACGGCATGTGAAATCGGGGGGTGGTCGTGACGGCAGATTGAACACTACGCTGCTTCGTCTCCTATTATGTAATTGATATTTGTTAATTTCTTTTTTATGATGCTTCTATTTTATTAATCTTCCTAACATTTTGACGGTCGCACTTATCACGGGAAAATTTCGGCTCGCTGTCGACGGACACCGAAAGCTCGCTTAGATATCTCGCTTAGGTGTCTGAAGAGAAGGGCCTCTTTGCGTATGAATTTGTAAGTTTACTTTTGACCTCCCATAATAACACAATTATTATTGACAAGAATTTCTTTATAACGCGATGACTGCTAGCTGGAACGAAATCACGTGTACAGTGGCTGTCAAAGTGTTGACACCGCGGGACATTGCAGCGTGGTGCCCGCCCGCTCGACACGATTATTCCGATTCGTCTCTGTTCTTTATCCGGACAGACAGGTGCGACGAAACTGTTCTCCCAATTTGGTTCGGGAAATAAGGGGTTGAAATAGGTACCGAACGAGAGATCTCGTTGAGCCGAAAACAAACATATAAGTTTCGTCTTGCACCTCCAATTGCCGCTGCAAAGTTACAGAGTTCCAAATGTTCCAAATTCAAGACAGTTTTTAATTTCAAGAATATGAAAACATCGGAGTTTTGCGGCGCGCGAGGAATCGCTTTGGAAGCTTGCGACTTCTGCTTTAATACGAAAGAAAGTACCGTCGCAATTCACTCGAGACAATGTGCGTGATGCAAAATGAAAATCCGAAAGTGATTCTTCGTAAATTTGTTAATGCATGAACATAACAACGACAAATTTGCACCGTTATACGGTGTAAATTCAATAATCAAATCAATACGGCATAATTGCTCCTCGAGTCTAACGGAAGAATTGTAAAACGTCTAACACGGTTAAATGCGTTTGTCAATGCAAACGCAACGTTAAACACAACGAAAGAAGTTGTCAAGTTTCCGTTATCGAGCGATCGTTGGAATCTATCCGGGCATTTGCTCCGTAATTTTACGCGACGGACGGGCCGCGTTGCTCGTCCGGCCATCCACGTGTTGCGCGAAACGTCACGACATTCCCTCCTCCTTGAGATAATCGCTTCTCGGAAAGCGCCACGCTTTTCCCCAATTTCCAATTTACACATTGCCGGGGAACATCGCTGTCACAGAGCGGTATCGGTGAACCGATATCAGTGAAAAGGAGAGAAGAAGCGGATGTGTTCCGCTGCGGCAACAGGCTGACGCCTGTCTCGTGGCGCGCTCTCGCCTTGGACGTGATTAACTCTTTTTTCCTCTCCGCGAACGAGCGACTCGAGAGAGAAAATAAAGAGAGAGAGAGAGAGAGAGACACACTGACACAGTGTCGCGTAATTATACACACGCGACGATAACACCGTTCCGGCGTTCCCCGGCTATCCCCGGCCACTGATAAACCCCGCGGATGCCGAAACGGCCGCACGTTCACCGCTTGTCGTCGCCGCCCCGAGAGCGAGCTGCGAGCAAACACGATCGGCGAGAATCGGCGGGCCGCCGGTTCGACGCGGAATTACACGCGACACGCGTAGAAGAGTGCATCCGCAGGAGGAGCGTACTTCAAACTGGCGCCACGCGGTTACACGGACGACGACGTCGGCGGTAGGTGTGTACCTATAGTTAATACCGGGTGGCCGCGAGAGAAACAGCGCGCGCAGGCGCGACTCCGCTCTCGTCAGCCGGCTTGTCAGCCGGCCGCAAGCTCTCTCGGTGGAAGCTCCCGTCCCAGGCGAGCTCGCGAGGTTCTCGCGCGCGGGTAAGACGCGCGAATGAGAGGCGGTTTGTCCGATGACATTCGCGCGTCATCGTCGTCTTCGAGAGCGGAGTGGAGCGAAAGGGAATCTCGCGCAATGACGATGCAATGTTCCACCGCGTTCTTCTTCTCCTTGTAACCCGGAAACCGTTTCTTCTCGCCTCGATCTCGCCGGTGATCGAACGGTGGACGCGTTCGACGCGTAGCGCGGGAAATCGACGGGAGGGGGAGGAGCTTTACGATTGTCACGACGCGCGGGGAATTGTAGTTCGAGAGAGAGAGAGAGGACACGTCGCTTTTCGGATGACTAATCGCGTATGAGTGGGATTATTTTCCGTCGAGCCGCGGCAGTCACGGTCAAGTAAGAATTGAAAGGACGGTCTGATCAAGTCGCAGCGGCGCTCCGACGGGTCTAATCTCGACGTTGCGTTTTTGGTTTCGGCTGGCTCTGTTCACCATTTTTTATATGTCGAGCTTTCGAGCTTATACGCTGAGACGGGTTTTCTTTTTCTGTAAAGTTTACCGACAAACGCGGGGGAAATGGATTTTCGTCCGTGTTTTTTATTTGACGGTCGCGAATCACGGTTGTGCGGAGGATTCTGGAAAAAATATATCTTGCGGTGCAAACCAATGTGCAATGATTCTTCCTGAAGGATTGATATTAGGATGCAAAAGGCTTGTATTTGTCAAATACGTATTTGTATTTTGCCTATAAAATAATACACAGCGAGTCAGTATTTTTTTCAAATAACCAACAAACTATTTTTTTTTTGTTTTTAATATTCGTATCAGTGATCTTTTATGAATTAGAGTTTAACGGGAACACAACCAATCTCGGCATCGAATACTTAATTCTTTACATATAATGTGCAATAGTAATAATGATAATAACAAATATTGATAAAATAATAGCTATTAACGCTTTGTACATATCTCTAAAACTCATGTGAGTTAGAGAATAAAAGATTAGAAACGATTATTTTCTCTACTACACAAAAATCGTCGTTACATCATATTTTCGCTATCAACCATCCCATCATTCCTATATACAACTTTGTCGCATTTGTTCTCTAACTTCCATAATTTCGAATTTATTTAAAACACTAATTGTTGAGATACCAATTGTAATGAGTCCACAGTGGTTATAAATAAATAAATAAATAAATAAATAAACTAATAAATAAATAGTTTACATTTTTTTTTTTTTTAATATATGTTACTACCTTGTTCAGATATACTGTAATATTTAAGTAAATACAAATTATACGACATTGTCTGAAAGTGGTCAAATTTTCGCCTGTCGGCCGGAATGAAAGACCGATATAACCCGTATTGCCTGTAATAAGTCGGCGCAAGCTCCGAGCGATTGCGTTGAAACCGAAATCCATCGTTCGACGTACGCGGAAGAATTCCCGGCGACACAATTCCCGGTGCAATTTGCGTTGTAACAAGGATTGCGTTACAGTGTTACAATGTTTAGTACAGATTCCGATCAGTGCTAAAGTGTCGGGCGTATGAGCCGTCGTGTAAAATGACATTGCGGTATTTCGCTTTGTTCGTTAAGACTCAAATTGTCCGCGTGCGATCACATCGTAAAAACACTTTGGCAGCTTTCGATGACGGGAAATTTCGTGTTCTTCCTGGTTGCCGCGGGCGATCGGCGGAAAAGTCGCTTTCTATCTACCGTAGTTGCCGAATCGTTCGGGTGATCCGTCGAGTGGAAGAGACCGGGACGAGTTGTTGGCGTTAGAACTTTTCGAGCAGCCAATTGTTACGATTGTTGACCGCACAAAGATGAAGAAGACAGCTTTCTTTTGTGTTTTCGGTAAATCCAGGATTTCATCCAGTGCACGTTGAAGAATATTTCATTATTTAATATTATTTTGTAACGAATAAGGTTTACTGTTTTGCTTCGGAAATGTGCAAAAATAGATTTTCGATCATCTGAACATAGCGACGATTCGATTTGCACCAGCATAATTTAGATTTTCAAATTAGGATATTGTTCGGTCGCTTTCAACACTGTGCTGAAACTACATGTTTATCTTCAAAAGGATTTAATTGACAAGTTAGATTATTGAATATCGTACAAGAGCTCTCAGGTAACTTTAAATACGGTGGCATCTGCTCCATCCGCCCGTACATTTCATTTCAATCATTTTATCGATTTATTTATTCACTCGCACGTTAAAAATAAACGTTATCATTAAAAATTAATTTTATTCCGCAAAGTATCATATCACAATGCTACGGAAAATTTAATCCCAGTTAATGGAAAAAAAGAACACTTTATTTAAATTTATTTATCGTCGATAGGAAACGTTGACGTGAGATTTCGAGGCGCTCGAAAGTTCACCCGACTGCTCCAGAATCCGTACTTTACTCTTTTCTAATTAATGCAATATCCTTCCGACTTCGAGACTCGGGGAAAAGAGGAACATTTCGCGATTCCTCTTATTTTCATTTCTCTCGCGATAAACGGCGCCAACGAAACAGCGTAGCCGATCCCGTGCTTTGCGCGAACCCGCCCCGGCTTCCTCTTCGTTCTGAAGCGATGTGAAACGCCGACGAGAAGAGACTTCTGCGGTGCGCGCAAAATGCGCGTGCGATTTGCGCGTTCATTTCGCGAACACGCGAAGCGAGCCGCGCTCCAGCCGGTGTTTAACGCTTCAAATCGCGCTCGTCGCGCAACGCGTAAGTATATCCCGTGCGATGCTTCGCGCTCGTAGGAAAAGTGCAAGTGACTCGTTTACGGGCGGAGAACGCGCCGATGGAAACGGCAGGGCGCGGAATTACGGTAATCTGCGCCCGTGTGCACCGTTATTTACACGATTCCGCGCGCGAGTGTGCCCGGTCGTCTTAATGCACTCGCGAGCGGCTTTAATTATCGTCATTTCGCTAACACGACGCGAATCGTTTTTCGACGCGCGCGCGCGCGCGCGCCCGAAGAAAGATCGCAATTCGTGACGCGCCTCTCGCCGCCGTCACGCTTTAATCGTAAAGTCTTTTACTGCTTTTAAAGAGCGCGTAAAATACCGACGGTGTTCGGAGAGAGAGAGAGAGAGAGGGAGAGAGGGAGACGTTATCACGTCTCGCCGGAGGCGATCCGATCGAACAAGAAAAGGGGAGAAAAACTGTAACGGGTGAAAATTTTTATTAGAATTACCGTTAACGGGACGATGATAGCAATCCTCGCGAAGGAAACGCGCGTTTAACACGAATCAGGAGGGACACCCGAGATAGTTAATTGACAGGTGCGCGTTAATGAGCATATGTGCGCGCGCGCGCGTAATTATACGCAGCGCGATTATGCCAGGGCAGACCAGGCCGGACTTAGTACGTGTATATAACGCTCGAGCGAGCATCGAAATTGTTTCATTATCCATTTTGAGAGAGTGTCCGACGCGAATATCAAGATCACGATCGTCGCTGACGGCAAGCGTAATTCTGCCTCTCGCGGTTGCGTTTGTTCTTGTTTCTTACGGATTACGCAATGAATGTGGATTAGACGCGAATCTCTGCGATAAGCAGAAGGAGCGCCTCGAGTGACTCCTCGTCGTTATCCTTCGCGGTTTTAATCAAGACGGCTGGCGCTTTAACGTACGCTCTGTGAAAGCAGAGAAATCGAGTCGAAATTTTGGCGAAATCTTTAATTCCACAACGGTGGAGAAGCTGAGATAACAAAATAGGCTCGATTCTGATGGTATAATTGATTCCTACATTGACCATGATGATGTTCTTAAATGTCCACTTTCGCTGGTTTCAACGTCAAAATAGTCGTTTCGAATACTCGTATGAATTTAACAATCGAAATATCGAGAGCATTTATGTTTTGAAAATAACGTTCAGATTAAATCTGCAAAATCAAAGGTTCAAGAGAGAGAGAGAGAGAGAGGGAGAGAAAAGTTAATAAATGTAATATCGTCAAAGCAAGTACTTACTAGTCAATAAGTGATTTTACTTAAGTAGAAATCGTCAAGGTAGAAAAGCAACAGAATTTCAGGGAAATGGATCTTTATGGAATTGCAAATATCTTTCCCCCTCCCCCTTCCCGACGGGACTTGCGTGCTTGTGACCCCGCTGTCCCAGACATCCGGTAATCTTCGCGTCGCTGTACCTGTCGCGAGTTAATCGGATTCGCGTACGTGGAAGTCGCCGAGGAAGCCGCGCGAGTGACGGCCTTTTAGCGGGACGCTACATTGACTGCGCTCCCGTGACAAATGACGGTCGTGTCGCGAGCCACGTTCAAAAATCTGCGTCACACTCGGCGGGAGGACGTCCGCGGAGCATTTAATTCGTTCGGGTTTACGTAAGGAAACGCCGATGAGTAACTCGATGCGAACGCATTAAGCCACCCCACCAGGCCGGGCGCGGCCCGCATGCTGCTGCGTAGTTCCGCCACGAGCCCCTGACATAACTTGACAAGGTTTTGGCAGGCCCGGCTTTCCGACTAACGACGATCCTCTCTCCTCCGTTTCTATCTTTCTCTCCCGCCGGATGGATTGTAAACGCGGAGATACCGCTTTTGGACTTGAGCGCCGCCGGCCGAGCGGTAAGGCCGCGTGACGTGTGGATAATCGCTGATTATCCGTTCCGAAATAGAGAGAAAGTGAATCTTTCCGCGGCGATTTTGATGTCCCCCGGCAGGTGATGCTTAAGTTTGCTTAAGAGGGTATTTCTCGTTTGGAACGTTTCCTTTGATAGTTGAATTTTAGGAATTCTTTTTGGGGGGGAGGGTAAAACAATGAGACATACAGTTCTGAAGTTTTGCATAAAATACAGTGGAAGAAAGATTTG